GATATTAACACGAGAATATATTTCTTCCTCGTCTTTCCATTTCTACTGTGCATCCTTATTACCGGGATCCCTGTTTACTGGATTAATACATTTCTAGAATACCAACTCATGGGTGTGGAGTTATGGTGGTGTAAATATATAAACTTGTTCTCATCAACACTGAGCAGGATCCACAAGGTTGACTGTTAAGAGTGAGTGAGTATTGTTTTACGCCACTTTTATTCCAGCAATATCTGGTGGGGGACACCAGTAATGGGTTTCACACATTGTACCCATATGGGAGTTGAACTCGGGTCTCGGTGTGACGAGCAAACGCCTAGGCTACCCCACCGACCCTTCACTGTTAAGAATTGACACATAATTCTCACAAGAAGTTAAAGAACACCAGATTCCTTCATTTTACTATAGTTATCTGTCATCCTATGCTTGAGGTTGATTAGCATACATCAACATATAAGTACAATAACGTTATACAGGTTCCACTTGAAAAAGAATTAACAACGGAATCTGTCATATCACAGTAACAATTATGACACCACTCAGATTTATTTTTCTTTGTTGTTTAACGCTTCATTCAGCAAAATTCCAGCAATATGACAGCTGTCTGCAAATAATCGAATCTAGACCACACAATCCAGTGACTGATATTGTGAGCAATCATATAAGGTAATATTACATCACATTCATAAATGACTTCAAACATTGCGTAAATTATTAGAGAAACTGATCCAAGGCCATTAGAGAGCAGAAAATCATATTCGACTCAGACAGCTACCCACTATCACAACTTTTGAATCAATTTAGCCTACCATATTGTTATCAAAAATCAATTTAGATTGCGGTCGAATTAACATGAATCAATTTAGCTCACTGTCGAATTATCATGGGTCAATGTAGCTCGCTGTTGCATTAACATGAATTAATTTAGCTTGATTTTTGATTATCACAAATCTATTTATCTTGCTGACTAATTGACAAAAATGTATTCAGCTTGCCATGAAACTATCAATATAGCTTGCAGTGTACTATCAATATAACTCGCTCTGGACTATCAATAAAACTTGCTGTGGACTATCAAGCTTGCTGAGGACTATCAATGTAGCTCGTTCTGGACTATCAATATAGCTTGCTGTGGGGCTATCAATGTAGTTTGTTCTGGACTATCAGTATAGCTTGCTGTGGACTATCAATGTAGCTTACTGGACTATCAATATAGCTTGCTCTGGACTATCAATATAGCTTACTGGACTATCAATATAGCTTGCAGTGGACTATCAATATAGCTTGCAGTGGACTATCAATATAGATTGCTATGAACTATCAATATAGCTTGCTGTGGACTATCAATATAGCTTGCTGTGGACTATCAATATAGCTTGCTGTGGACTATCAATATAGCTTGCAGTGGACTATCAATATAGCTTGCTGTGGACTATAAATTCAGCATGCTGTGGGACTATCAATATAGCTTGCTGTGGGACTATCAATATAGCTTGCTGTGGACTATAAATTCAGCATGCTGTGGGACTTCTGCATTAGTTCAGCTATAACCAGCAGCAGCAGCAGCAGCATCTCAAGGAAGGCAGGTTCCCAGCGGAATGTTGGGGATAGTTTATAGGAATATTTACCTCCTACCACAGGTGCTTGTGTAAGCACATCTGCTTGCAGCTGATATCAGTACATACAGTTTACTTTAACTGTAATGAAATATTTTTTCATTCTTTCAGCCAAACATGTCTCAAGAGATATGTGTTGGTGCTGACTCCCCAGTCTCTTCTTGATAGCCCTGCGTGTCTTGTCTGTAGCCTCGTTACATACACAAGTATGAGTTTGGATGTACAACGCTTCAAGGCTAATCAAATACTGTCTCTTGTTTGTTGATTCAAGCAAATAAATGCATTTTAATTTGTTTGCTTTCCTTTAGCAAACCCTAACTGAGCATAATATTATTGGTCTGGCAATGATCAGATAAGACGATACTGGCACACTGGGTAATTTAGCACAAGCAACTGGGGTACGCTGGATGATAGATCCATAATGTCAGCTTCATCTTCATAGACATGTATCATGTGTCAGCTTTATAAGATCTGGGACTTTTTTAAAAGAATTATTGCCAGAAAGTGTCTCCTCAGCATCTTTGAAGAAAACAAACATTAAACGCTCAACCTCTGCCTGTGCCATATTTTGGTGAAGATTAGCCAGTTTTTTACACATGTGCAAGCTTGTTCTTAATGATACTTATCGGTAGTTGAATCGCATGTTACAACCATTATTTGTCTTCGATGCACTGTCTGCTTCCCCAAGAACTCTTGTAGTGTGTTAGTGTTTGTTTGTTGTTTAGTGTCACACTCAGCAATATTCCAGCTATGTGACGGCAGTCTGGACCAGACAATCAAGTGATTAAAATCATGAGTGAGTGAGTATGGTTTTACGCCCCTTTTAGCATTATTCCAGCAATATCACTGCAGGGGACAACAGAAATGGGCTTCACACATTGTACCCATGTCGGGATTCGAACCCGGGTCTTCGGCATGACAAGCAAACCACTAGGCTACCCGACCGCCCCGATTAACATCATGAGCATCGATCCACGCAATTGGGATACGATGACATGCATCAACCCATTTAGCAAGCCTCACCACCCTGTCCTGTAAGTTGCCTTTTACGGCAAGCATTGGTTGTTAAGGACCTATTCTACCCCGGATCTTCACGGGTCTTGTAGTGAGTTTGGTTTATCATGGCATGACTTGAACAGAATGTCAGTTGTATCTCGGTGTGCCAGCTTAATGTTGCAGGTGATGCTCGAAGTAATGCAGGTCTTGGACGTTTATCACTTTGGTGAAATCCACAAGCATGGGTGACAAACCTAGAAACTTATTCAGGGCAATCTGGGATTCAAACCCACCTTCACAGTTTTCGGGTGTGCCCTAGAAACGCAACGCAGCAAATTGTTGCACCTTGCGGAATTGGATGACTGGGCCACCCATTGTTCTGTGGCAGGTACTGTGAATCCTGGGAACAAGACGCCTGGGCATCTACCTATTTCAGAGACGTCTTACACCCAGCATCTATTCAAGAAAGGGGCGGACGGGTAGCCTAGTGGTTAAAGCATTCGCTCGTCACGCCGAAGACCCGGGTTCGATTCACGACATGGGTACAATGTATGAAGCCCATTTCTGGCGTCCCCCGCCGTCATATTGCTGGAATATTGCTAAAAGTGGCGTAAAACCTTACACACTCACTATTCAAGTAAGGTGTAAATTCAAGGCAGGCATGTATTTTTTCATTACGGTAAATATTTTGAATTTCCATGAAAATGGGACGTGTAATTTGAATAAGACCTGTGATTTATATTGTGTATGATAACCACTTTCATTTCAACATCACCACGTACCAAAAGAAATGTCTAGTTCAGAGATTCTGACCCTGCATCTATACAAGGTAGGCGTTTATTCACTTAACAACTCTGTCAGACCAAACGTGTACTCAGGGAAGGTGTCTATTCAAGTATGTACAGTAGATTACCATATTACATAAACTGAAAACTTGGGTGAAAGTTGTAGTGAGTGAGTATGGTTTTACTCCGCATTTAGGAATATTCCAGCAATATCACGGCGGGGGACACCAGAAATGGGCTTCACACATTGTACCCATGTCGGGAATCAAACCTGGGTCTTCGGCATAACTAGCAAACGCTTTAACCACAAGGCTACCCGACCGCCCCTAATATAATAATAATTTATCCATAGGTGGTAATAAGATAAACAGTTAAATATTAAATTTCAGGGGCGGTGGGGTAGCCTCGTGGTTAAAGCATTGGTACGTCACGTCGATGGCCTGGATTCGATTCCCAACATGGGTACAATGTGTGAAGCCAATTTTCCGGTGCCCCCAACATGATATTGCTGTAATTTTGCTAAAAGCAGCGTAAAACCATTCTCACTCACTCACTCATTAAATTTCAGGACAAAAAGGTTTTCACCCTGAGTTTAAATCCCCATATGTCTATGCAGTATATGAATCTGCTACTCTCAAACAGACAAGAGGCTCTCCCAGAGTGACAACTGATCCAATGTTTGTGATGATATAGTCAATAGTCTGATTTGGGAAAACCATAGCAAGAAAGAAACAATAGCTTATACACAAGCAGTGTGCTTGTCCCACTATAGGTATGGATGGTATGTGTGGCTTTGTGTGTTGCGGTGGCAGAAACATGTAATCATACACACACAGCTCAGACAACTTGATAGAACTAAGGAAATAAAATGTCCGAAATCTGCAGTTTCTATGAACATTAATGATCACTGCCCGAGCATCAAAAGTGATAGTGTTAAAGCTGACTTTTTTATATCAGAGTTGATACACATCATGATGTCAGGGTAGATAATCCACACAACATGGGCTCAAACCCTGCACTCAAGAAGATGATCTTGTACTTGAACTTGTACACAACCTTAACTTACACCCTGCAATCACGAGGATTAGATGGTCCTTCGTCCTTGTAGACCTGCACAGTACAATCCTGTCTGCCCATCTGTATTCACAATGTCCTCTTTATACGCAATGTCCTCTGTATACACAATGTCCTCTTTATACGCAATGTCCTCTGTATACACAATGTCCTCTTTATACGCAATGTCCTCTGTATACACAATGTCCTCTGTATTCACGACGTCCTCTGTATTCACGATGTCCTCTGTATTCACGATGTCCTCTGTATTCACAACGTCCTCTGTATACACAATGTCCTCTTTATTCACGATGTCCTCTGTATTCCCAACTTCCTCTGTATTCACGACGTCCTCTGTATTCAGGACGTCCTGACGGTACACTCCATATCCATCCTGTCCTGAATCCATCCAGCAGGAATCAAGTAGGAATCACACGTAAATCCAATTCAGTTTTTTCCAAGAGAAAAATCTGTAAACCTGAAATAATCACCAACTTCAACTAAACTGCCCTGAAAACAAGGAACTACCGGTACTTTAAGTATTACTCACGTGTCATTTTCTGAGACGTTTGACCCAGATCTTTTACGGTCCAGTTTCGTCACACTTTTGGTTCTTTTCAGATTTGTTTTAAATCCTTTCTTGGTGAAAAAGTTCTGAAAAAGAAAGAGATTATATATTTAGGGATGGATACAACTGGAAACGTACAAGCAGAGGGAATACCTTCATGGATCATAAAAAACAGTGGGAATCCCTTCTTGGATCATTAAAACAGGGAATCACTTCACGGATCATAAAAATAGGGGGAATCCCTTCTTGGATCATAAATGCAGAGGGAATCCCTTTTTGGATCATTAAAACAAAGGGAATCCCTTCTTGGATCATTAAAACAGGGAATCACTTCACGGATCATAAAAATAGGGGGAATCCCTTCTTGGATCATAAATGCAGAGGGAATCCCTTTTTGGATCATTAAAACAAAGGGAATCCCTTCATGGATCATACAAACAGGGGGAATCCCTTCTTAGATCATTAATACGGAGAATCACTTCTTGGATCATTAATACGGGGAATCCCTTCTTGGATCATTAAAACAGAGGGAATCCCTTCTTGGATCATTAAAACAGAGGGAATCCCTTCTTTTATCATTAAAACAGAGGGAATCCCTTCATGGATCATAAAAACAGGGGAAATCCCTTCTTGGATCATAAAAACAGGGGGAATCCCTTCTTGGATCCCAAATGCAGAGGGAATCCCATTACAGAACAATAAATCCCTTTACTGAACATATATGCCAAAAGAGTACAGTTCAGAGGAAATATGTCATGATTGAGATTGATTGAATGATGGATGAAGCAATGATGTGATCCCTTTGACATAATGACTGTGTTTGTTGTATATTCCACTGGAATACCAGTGCTTGAGATGGCCTAGAGCTGCGTGCTGGCACTGCCTTGTGCCAGAGGCCATCCTGCTGTTAGGAAACATGCCAGGAGACATTCCAACCAGAATCGGCTTGGAAGTCATACAGTGAAAATATGCTTCATGATGGAATAAATTCACACACAGTGATATTATGTGACAGTAATGACTTCAAATTACACTAAAAATACCAAAGAAGTCAAAAGTCATTTTATTTTTTTTTATCACATTCCCTAAAAGGCATTTGGCATTTCTCACATAAACATAAAACAAACATTCCAGACAAGTTTAACAAGACTGAGCTCAGCTCAAGCTGATAAAAGGTTCATAACAATTATGAAAATATCTTCCCTGTATGATATATTTCTGTATCTATGAATCAGCAGAATGTACGGCAATCAACTCGGCTGTGTGTAAGTGATGGTTCCTCAAACGGCAGCTCCCATCAGGGCAAGTTAAATTCCCTTCAACCTGCCATGGTTAGTTTACAGGCATTGTTATCTGGGGAAGGATTCAGACCTTCTAATATTTCACAAACACACATGTTCCAGGAGACTGGCGAGTAACGACCTGTGTAAACGCATTCAGAAGAGTTTTGAAAGTCTGGAGGTTGTCAATTTTGTTGCGATGTTTATGAATCCAATGCTGTCAGTTTAACATACATCCACTGTTGTACATCATACCCTGCTGTGAGATAAAGGGCACCACTGTCAGAGGTCTCTGAGGGAATACGGAGCTATATTGCCACTGAACCATTAATTTCTTCAGTGCGAGACTCAGATAATATTCCAGATATATGACAGCGGTCTGTAAATAATCAACCAAATAATCCAGTGATCAATATTGTGAGCAACGACCCACGCCATTGAGGTACAATGACAGGCCATCAACCAAGACACCAAGTTTTACCATCCGACCCAATTAATTGCCACTTACAACCAGCATAGATTGCTGGGGGCCTATTCTAACCCAGAATCCCCATTGAGCCGCCTCTAATCTGGAATCCCCACGGGGTCGCCTCTTACAACCAGCATAAGGTTGCTGGGGACCTACTCTATCCCAGAATCCCCACAGGGTCGTCTCTAACAACCAGCACAAGTTGCTGGGGACCTACTCTATCCCGGAATCTCCACGAGGTCACCTCTTACAACCAGCACAAGTTGCTGGGGACCTACTCTATCCCCGAATCTCCACGAGGTCACCTCTTACAACCAGCACAAGTTGCTGGGGACCTACTCTATCCCAGAATCCCAACGGGGTCGCCTCTTACAACCAGCATAAGTTGCTGGGGACCTACTCTATCCCGGAATCTCCACGAGGTCACCTCTTACAACCAGCACAAGTTGCTGGGGACCTACTCTATCCCCGAATCTCCACGAGGTCACCTCTTACAACCAGCACAAATTGCTGGGGACCTACTCTATCCCAGAATCCCAACGGGGTCGCCTCTTACAACCAGCATAAGTTGCTGGGGACCTACTCTATCCCGGAATCCCCACGAGGTCACCTCTTACAACCAGCACAAGTTGCTGGGGACCTACTCTATCCCGGAATCTCCACGAGGTCACCTCTTACAACCAGCACAAGTTGCTGGGGACCTACTCTATCCCAGAATCCCAACGGGGTCGCCTCTTACAACCAGCACAAGTTGCTGGGGACCTACTCTATCCCAGAATCCCAACGGGGTCGCCTCTTACAACCAGCACAAGTTGCTGGGGACCTACTCTATCCCAGAATCCCAACGGGGTCGCCTCTTACAACCAGCACAAGTTGCTGGGGACCTACTCTATCCCCGAATCTCCACGAGGTCACCTCTTACAACCAGCACAAGTTGCTGGGGACCTACTCTATCCCGGAATCCCCACAGGGTCACCTCTTACCCGGAATCCCGAAGGGGTCACCTCTAACCCAGAATCCCCACAGGGTCACCTCTATCCCGGAATCCCACAGGGTCACCTCTTACCCGGAATCCCCACAGGGTCACCTCTAACCTGGAATCCCCACAAGGTCACCTCTATCCCGGAATCCCCACGGGGTCACCTCTAGCCCGGAATCCCCACAGGGTCACCTCTAGCCCGGAATCCCCATGGGGTCACCTCTAGCCCGGAATCTCCCAGGGTCACCTCTAGCCCGGAATCCCCACGGGGTCACCTCTATCCCGGAATCCCCATGGGGTCACCTCTAGCCCGGAATCTCCCAGGGTCACCTCTAACCCAGAATCCCCCAGGGTCACCTCTATCCTGGAATCCCCATAGGGTCACCTCTAACCCAGAATCCCCACAGGGTCACCTCTAACCAGGAATCCCCCAGGGTCACCTCTAGCCCGGAATCCCCACGGGGTCACCTCTAGCCCGGAATCTCCCAGGGTCACCTCTAACCAGGAATCCCCATGGGGTCACCTCTAGCCCGGAATCCCCACAGGGTCACCTCTAACCAGGAATCCCCATGGGGTCACCTCTAACCAGGAATCTCCCAGGGTCACCTCTAACCCAGAATCCCCCAGGGTCACCTCTAACCAGGAATCCCCCAGGGTCACCTCTAGCCCGGAATCCCACAGGGTCACCTCTAACCCAGAATCCCCCAGGGTCACCTCTATCCCGGAATCCCCATGGGGTCACCTCTAGCCCAGAATCTCCCAGGGTCACCTCTAACCAGGAATCCCCAGGGTCACCTCTAACCCAGAATCCCACAGGGTCACCTCTTACCCGGAATCCCCACAGGGTCACCTCTAACCCAGAATCCCCACAGGGTCACCTCTTACCCGGAATCCCACAGGGTCACCTCTAACCCGGAATCCCACAGGGTCACCTCTAACCCGGAATCCCCACAGCACCACTGGAACTGGGCTCCCTAGAGAGTTGCAGAATATGGAGTAAATATTAATTGTTTCAAATTTGCGTGCCTCCACCTTTCAACAACATGTAATGAAGCAGTGGTTGAACAAAACCCTGATATTCCAATATTCCCCACCAAATGTCCCCGCTCCCCCGTATCATATGGACAGGCTTTGTTGGTTGGTTGGTTTGTTGTTTAACGCCGGGCACTGAGCACCACTGATGCACATGGTCATCAAGTGTGGCCCCCCACCCATCAGGGTGCCAACCCCCTTCTTGTACAACGGATGCCGATCCCTGTTAAGCGGTATTCCGTATGCCAGAGTGCAGTACCCTGAGCTACAAAATGTTTTTCTCGTATGAAGATGTCAATGTTTCAATGCTTAAATTTATTTTTCATTTTGTTTGTTGCAATGGGTGAGAAATCAATCAAATACTTCGCCCTAATCTTAGGAGCATGCATTCAATGTGAAAATCCCAGTGCAATTCACTTGTACCAGCTGTGTACACTAACGTGCGTACACTGATAAGATTTCTGAGCCTAATAAAGTTTTTGCCTTTTCAATTGATGAATGTCTGACACTAATACTTCACAAGGTCCATGCACTCCTCTCCTTTCAGTGAATTTTTTAATTATTCCGAATGGCAAGAGTTCTTAAGTTGGATGCCAAGACAAATTAAATGCCGGATGCCGAGAGGAGGGGAGATGTTGGCACCCTGCATGATCGTCAAGTGTGGCCACCCACTCATGCTTCTCCCAGAACACCCAGACCGCCCATGACCGTCCCCGAGACATCTCCCTGTATGACATGTACAGCATCCCTCTGTGGGTCAGGGTGCTCCTACAGATCTCATTTCCCAGGAATTGGATGACACCAGGGTCTGTTGTTACAGTGTGTACAGGCTGCAGCTGCTGGTGAGCCAGTCCCATCACAGTCAGAGAGTGAGTGAGTGAGTGAGCAACTTCAACTACTTAGGATTTTACCAGGAATATAACACCAAGCGAAGCAATAATAGCTTTAACAGGTGGTACTCAGAAATCGTCTTCATGGGGACCACAACCACGAAGCTATCCTACAGCACAAAATTCCTTAAGACAATCATAGTGAGTGAGTGAGAGTGAGTGAGTGAGTGAGTGAGTGAGTGAGTGAGTGAGTGAGTGAGTGAGTGAGTGAGTGAGTGAGTGAGTGAGTATGCTTTTACATCTCTTTCAGCAATATTCTAGCAATATCACAATGAGAAACACAGAAATGGAGCCTAGGCCTCAGGCACAACCAGCAAACACTGACCACAAGACTACCCACTGCCACAGATTATAGAAGTGTTTGACAGTTTTGGAGCTTCAAAATTGTCCAAAACTGTCCCTTGTTCTTCTAAAAATAAAGAAATCGTAAGTGATTTTGTTGTATTTGATTGGCTAACCAATCCCTTTTTATGGCATGGCCTTGTGGGTTAAGTGTTCCCTCATCACGCTGAAGGCCCGGGTTCAATTCCCCACATAGGTACAATGTGTGAAGCCAGTTTCTGGTGTCCCCTGCCATGATACTGCTGGAATATTCCCAGAAAAGAGTTGTGAAACCCAACTAACTCACTCACTCCTAAACATGTCCTAACACTGGCAATCATAAATGGCGTGTAGACTAAACCCTAAACAAAATAACATAATGGATAAAAAGTTATTTAACTGTAAAGCATTGTCATTACTGACCACAAGACGCGAGGATGTTGAAGGGGAGTCCATGACGTCGTCGTCAATGCCGGCTGCTGAGACAAGGGGCACGCTCCCCCGCCTCTCGTTAGACGACACTTTCTCAAAGGACGAGTCTGTAAAAACACAAACAGTAAAACGTGTTTATCATCCATCATACATGGTGTTAATTCACTGGTGTGGTCAAACACATCAAGAGCAACATGACAACTGAAAATAAACAGCTCAAACATTTAATTGCACAGTGATGTTTGAACAAATATTGTCTGAAATATAGAACAAACTGCCTTGTTTAACAATCATCAACGTCACGGAATAACTAACCACGTACTAATTGTGAATATTTAATGATTCATAAAACTTTCAAATAAAGACAACACTGAAAATAGCAAAATAAATAAATTGCAAGTGATTATGTGGTATTTGATTGGCTAACCATGCAATCTTTTTGCGTTTGATTTCCATAAACAGAAAAAAAATTAAGTAAATTTTTTACACCACCAACAGCGCTGCCTAATCACCTCTTTTTAAAAGGTTTGTTCTTCGTTAAAGCAATATGTTATGTTAACTGTCACTCTGGGGGGATTGGAACTGCCTTTGTTGTAACTGACAATTTACTTTATCATTCAAAAACTGGCCTCCACAGGAGATATCGCTAGGGTCGGATCACCGCTTTGCAGACCATTATGACATCACTGGTTACCATGACATCACAATCAAATGACATCACTAATGTGAGTCACTGAAGCTTGTGAGCCGCACTTTTTTACATTCAAAAACTTAGTGTCAACAGTTATTTTCCGAATGTTTTCATGTTCCTTATGTGCTCACATGATATGATGCACTACGTGAAGTAAGACCCGTAGTATTACAACAAAGACTTTGATTATCCAGCCTAGTTCGACAAGGTTGGTAACTGGACTTTTACAGTCAGTTAACGCCCTTGACTCGGGAAGATGATTACTGTCTACAAACTGAAAAAGTTGGAAGAATGATGTTGGATGATAAACAGAACCTCATCCTCATCTTTTGATATAAAATATATCAACACTTGTTGGTAAAAGTTAAAAACTCTAGGATATTAGAATATCAAAAGACACACATGTGAAATTCTCTACAGACTTGGTCATTTGTGAGATGACTACCTCAATTATAGCCTGTGTCTCTAAAACAAACACTCAGGAGTTATTTCCCTTTATTACAAACATCAAACACTATACACACATACACACACACACACACACACACACACACACACACACACACACACACACACACACAAAGTACGTATACCAAATGCTGATATCAAATTCCCTAAAAATAAATCAATTAACATCTCAAAGAGTTCATTCGGTAATTCTTTTAGTGTTATTTATGGCAACACAAATAACATGAAATATTGACATAAGTAGTAGCCGAGTTTCCTTGTAATATGACAAACTGCCGCAAGTCAAGTAGCTCCCACCATACATCAGTAGTTTATGGCCCCCCAACTGACAAATACCTTTGTAATATTACCCTCACAACATAGCCCAGGCTCCCAGCAGTCTCAAGCCACTGTTCCATCAACATCAAGCCAAGTGTCCCCCTAGACGTGACCTCTGGGAGACAGGCACATCAGGGGTGGCACTCCATCATCCTCAGCACCGGGAATAATGGAATCTGGGGTTGCGATATCACTGATATCAACCCCCTATAATTTGGTTATCACCTAAGGGAATCTCGGACTCTACAGCAAAGTCTAATAGAACAATTTATCAATTAAGAGTGAAATCATACTTGTCAATCTTGCTTTTCAACTTTCTACTTAATCTTTATTTATTTGATCTTTGACTTGTCACTTACACAGAAAGAGAACATTTGACTTGTTTCAAGATTTAATCTTCATTCAAGCCTTTATTCAACACAGACCTTTTTTTCACACAAAATGAATTGTAATTTCAGCATACTAACTTTTTGACAATAAACTGTTTTCAGAATGGTCGGACCCGTGAAGATCCAGGTTAGAATAGGTCTTCAGCAACCAATGCTTGCCGTAAAATACGACTATGCTTGTCGTAAGAGGCGACTAACGGGATTGGATGGTCAGGCTTGCTGACTTTGTTGATGCATGTCATCATATCAAACTTGCATGAATGGATGCTCATAATAACAATCATTGGATTGTCTGGACCAGACTCGATTATTTACAGACTGCCGTCATATAGCTGGAATATTGCTGAGTGCTGTGTTTAACAGCCAACAAACAAAACAAACAAATGTTTGGACATTGTCAGGTCAGTGAAGCACATGTAAAATGTTCGGCAAATACATCCCAAGTGGTCAATATATCTGTTATAGTCCACTGTGCAGCCACTGTCCACCTGAAGCAGTCGATGAACAGCACAGTCAGCTAGTCGATGGAACCATCCATGCAGATGTCTCTGTCACTTCACAGGTGCCCCTTGGTAGGAGAGCTGATCTTCACACCAACTGATTCGGGCTGTGACATTTTACAGACTGACACAGTGATCAACATCAGACTTCAGCACAGTCCTGTCGGAGTTGTGCAAACGTTTATAAGGCTAAATCATGATTTCACTATATGTTAGTCTCATGTAAAGGCAACAGTAAAGTACACTAAGCTGGAATTGTATTCTTGGAAGAACTCTGATTTGAGGTTTTCCTAACCATGCAGGCTGTTCATTGGTCTACACTATCCTTCTGTCTAACCATGTCGATGGGCCTCCATGTCAAGTCATGTGACCCGCCATCCATAAACATGTTATCTATGTTCCAGTTGAAACTTAAAGTAGTGTGAATGAGTGAGTGTTGTTTTATGCCAATCAGCAATATTCCAGCCACATCACGGCAGCCTGTAAATAATAAGAGTCATGCTGGCCCAGGCAAGCAGTTAAGGGTGAAACTCACAGGAACCTGATAATCGAAACGTCAAAAATGACGAAGCTGAGCCATATATTCATACCCACAGGACAGCCGGTGGAATTAGGGTCGTATCGGAACTACCCAGATAAATCCCTTGGAAATAGGTCAAATTACCAGTTTCTAGGTCCCAGTCACGGAACTAATATCCCATGGAGCTAAAAAAAGAATTTGGAACTTGGGGAAACATTCTGCGCACACTTAAATACTTAAATGAATGCTCATGGACTTTCTGTTTTTTTAACTCTTTGTCCCATTTTCCAACCCTGGCCTTTATTTGTCTGTATTACTGTTAAGACTTCGACAATGGTCTTGAAGTATAAAGGGTCACTGATAGTTAAAAATCACTGAAACGTTTTATTCATTCATAATTTCAAATGGCTATAAAGTCATTATTAAATTTTGGTGGTTTGGATATATTTCAGTAATATTATTGACTGCACATTTCCAAAAGCTTTCCATATATCTATAACACACAAGGTATGGTTTCCAAAAGGGGTCATGTCACCAGCCCCTAAAGCAGTATGGTTGGAAATTACATTTGAACCCAGTTTGGACATTCAGAGGACATACTAAATATGAAGTAGCAGGGCGTGTGGTCATGTGTCTGCCAACTATATGTCTGTGTCTGTGTTATAACATCCATATCCTCCCCATCAACTGGACAGTAGCAGGGCCAGTGTGGTCATCTGTCTGCCAACTATATGTCTGTGTCTGTGTTATAACATCCATATCCTCCCCATCAACTGGACAGTAGCAGGGCCAGTGGTCATGTGTGTGCCAACTGTATGTCTGTGTCTGTGTTATAACATCCATATCCTCCCCATCAACTGGACAGTACCGCATCCCCACAACCTCCCACTGGACATCCAGCCAACACAAGCTGTACAAGTAGGTGATATGGAGTGATAAATGGCTACACTGTACTTGACCCTGGCTCCCCCTGGCCAAACTATCCCCGCTGGGACAATGTTTAGCAGAAACCTCAATAAGAGCCCAAACTGGGTAACCTGAGAAATTCTATAATCATATGCCATGTTTTTCATCATGTGTTAGGCCCTTGAAGATCCGGGTTAGAATAGGTCTTCAGAAAGTCATGCTTGCTGTAAAAGGCGATTATGCTTGTCGTAAGAAATGACTTGCAAGAGGCAAGAGGTCGTAACAGAATCAGGTGGTCAGGCTCGCTGACTTGGTTGATGCATGTCATTGTATCCCAACTACGTGAATTGATGCTCATGTTGTCAATCGCTGGATTGTCTGGTCCAGACTCGATTATTTACACAACGGAATATAGCTGGAATATTGCTGAGTGCGGCATTAAACAATAAACAAACAAAAACAAACATCATGTGTTCATGCCTCCGTGATCTGTACAACCATGTTCGGACCACTGTGCAACACAACAGGCCTGGTGTTGTACCCTGTCCCCAGTGGGTGGTTGTACAATAGCCATTCTTGATCCTTAATATCCCTGTTTGACCCCTGTCCAGCCTCACCATGACCCGACCCTCTCCTCCATCACTCTCCCACTAATCAGGGTGACACATTCATCACTTGTTTTACTGGGGCTGAAGCCACCAGCTTAAGAAATTGTTAATTTATCAAAGTCAAAGGTTTACAAATTTCTGCATCTGACATGACAATAAAAATACACCTTGACATTTATTATAATTTTTCTAATAAAGAAATATGGAAACCTATTATTTACTTTGAGAATTGAGAAATATTATTCAGCTGCTAATTCAATTATTCAGAATGAAGATGGGGTTATTCTGCTACAACAACATCAAATCCTGGAAGCATTTTGTCCTTAAATAAAGACGAGAAGAGTTTCACCCCAAAAGAGACCCCCTTCAATTTGTTTAATCATGCTTGAGAAATGCTATCATTCATTCACATTATCACTCACAGCACATTCAAATATAAGAGAGACATCTTTATTGCACAAGTAATCACTTAACCTCAACATGAAGCAGCTACATTAAAACCTCCTCGTATCCCCGGAAACCAGTGCCAAGGGCTTATTTCCATAACAGCCCGACTAGAAGCTATATCTATCACCAATACTTAACAGCTGACCTTAAACATCTTTATTATCACCACATCTGACCTAATTCAGAGAAATTAAATGTCCTTTTTAGCTTCACATGCCCCCCCCATATCAGGTCCTGGTGCTGACTTCATCGTTATCCAGTGATGCTGTAATGGCTAAATACTGAGTGTGCATTGCTGATCGATCACGCTCAGTACAGCCAGTGATGAATCAGACTCGCGTCATTCATCAAACTCACTCCCTTCTCAAACTGGCTCATGTTTCCTATCAACTGTAGCAACTGCGTTATGTTTCTTTAAACACCGTCAATAGCGTTACTTGTCATGCAATCTAATATTTTCCTAACTTGGTATTAAATAAGTGTCAAAAGTTGCATGTTTTTTTAACTTTTATGGCACATTTAGAGGAGATTCTTGATTTTGGACAGTGAAACTGTATTGGTATTAAATACACGTAACCACTCATGCTGTGATAACAGTACTTGTACAGTGTTTTTGAAAAGGAAACAATATCAAGAAAATGTATTTCTATTTAATTTATTCTAATTAGTTTTAATTTGTTAAATATGCAAAGAGATTCTTACTGACAATGTGAAACAATTACAATCGAAATTTATAATATAAATCCTATTACCTTACATAAAACTATATTTAAAAAAACATTTTTTTATTTATCTACTAAAAAATTGTTTTAATTTGTTAAACATGCAAAGAGATTCTTCCTGACAATGAGAATCAATTCCAACTGAAGTCTATCCCCCAAACCCTATTACCTTATATAAAACTTTATTGAGAGCTGATTTGTATTGATTTACTCAGAAATTGTTTATATATTATTACTCAGAAAATGTACATATATTGTCACAAACACTGTAAAACAATCAGAACCAAAGATAACTCCTTTTACCTTGTATAAAACTAGCTATACTCCAACTACGTATGTATATAATCTGATACCCTACATCTGCCTGCATATATCACCCCGTTGTCCCATTTGTGAAACAAGCCATGAACAAGGAAACACAAATACAATAAGTCCCGGCTGTATTCATATCAACCCGACCACCCATCCCACTGTGGACGTATCATATACATACTCACCGACAATTAGGGCCAATCGATAAAGTATTTCCTCAATGGCGGTACTCCTCGGCCGACAACATCGTGAGTGTAACACTCCCGCGCACTCTCTCCTAAGTCAATATACCTGTCCCAATTTACACACCTGTCTAGCTTGACGATCGTAGCAGGTCACTCAACGTAAATAATGATAACCTCGACACCACTTTAAATAAAAAACAACCAAACACACCCTATTTAAAGAGGATTTTGAATAATACACTCAATCTTAAATGAAAACAAAGTAGACGGTTTGAAGTGTAAACCACTGTTATTTTCAAATCTGTTACAACAATATGTAAATTCAAACTACTTGCAGCTAAGAACATTTTGTCCGTATTATTGGCTACATATATAGAGAGAATATTCTTACTGGAGGAATAACTTCTTCAAAGGCAAAAAATGAAATATCTCCACAGGAAATCATATCAAAAATTAAAAATTGATCTTTAAAGAAAGCTTTTTCAATAGTGTTGAAACAGAAGATTGTAGAGAAAGAGGGGACAATGTGTACTGAACAAAATAAGGTAGGGGTCATGAGTATTTGGGGGGATTTTTTCATGTAGCGAACATGGAGCACATGATTTCATTAATAAACAGGTGAACTGATGGTAGATGGAATGATGGATGGATGAACGGACAGAAAGATGATGAATTGTTAGATCAGCAGACAATTGGATGAACGAATGGTTGGACAGATGGACAGACAGATGAATGGATGGATGGATGGATGACAGATGAATGGATGGATGGACAGATGAATGAAGGATGGATGGACAGATAGAAGAATCGATGGATGACATAGAGGAAAGGATGGATAATGGATGGATGGATGGATGGATGAACGGATGGACGGACAGACAGATGAATGGATAGATGGATGGATGATGGATGGATGGATGGATGGATGGATGGATGACAGATGAATGGATGGATGGACAGATGAATGAAGGATGGATGGACAGATAGAAGAATCGATGGATGACATATAGAGGAAAGGATGGATAATGGATGGATGAACGGACGGACGGACAGACAGATGAATGGATGGATGGACGGATGGATGGATGGACAGACAGATGAATGGATGGATGGATGGATGGTCAGATGAATGGATAGATGGATGGATGATGGATGGATGGATGGACAGACAGATGAATGATAGATGATAGATGGATGAATGGATGGCTGGACGGACAGACAGATGAATGGATAGATGATAGATGGATGGATGGATGGATGAACTAGTTATTAAGTTTGAAGAAAGGTATATGTAGTGACATAAGATGATATAGCCTGATATTTACAGACATGTATTGGAGAAAACCAACCAGCTCAAGGACTAGATTCTGCCGACGAGGGCGGCAGAGTGTGTAAGTGGTTGTGTTTTCTACCAAACTAAACACTGCAGCTATTGTGGCAGGAGGTCAGCATGACACTATGAGGAAACACCAGCAAACCTTGACACACAAGTATATTCTCACCTGTGCTAATCTCTCCCGCTTCCTCGTTAGGGTCAGGTGAGAGAAGCTTTTTCTCAGTTCCTTCCCGCTTGGGCTGGGTACGAGTACACAGACAAGGGCAAATGTATTCCATTCTATCCTAGAAACTTCAAATCTCACACACGAGGGCAAATAGATTCACCCTGAAATGTTACAGTATTTCCACATGACCTTCAGTTCTCCACAGGTGACATCAAGTCATGATTGAGACCACACACTGATGTTCAGCTGTCACAGGCCGACTTTCCCTGTAATTCACAACGTCCGTTAATCCACTCCTTTCAATTCAAGTAATGCGTAACAGTCAACGTTGCCATCAAAAGTGTGATCAATCACGCTTGGCGTAACAGGTAAATATAGGTATGAATGTAGGTTGATATGACTGGAGATATATCAATAAGCTGTCACTGCCGACCCTCAAGAACTAGCACAGCATAATCCAGAACACCATTAACCATACCTGACAGAACACTCCCTCCAACACCAAACAGGAATATTACTTATCAAAAATATGAATCTATCCTTGAAAAGATGTTCCAAGATGTCAACTTGTGTTAGAGTTACCACTGATTAATTATGTGATGTATTCATGCCTGGTTACACTATGACATGGGGAACAAATCAAAAAGTGACGTTCTCATCAGTGGGGCTTTTACCTACAGGATATACAGAGTTATGATGACAGAACATTTTGAGATGACAGTCACGTATGTATCTGTGACAGTCATGTGTATATTAAGACACAGGAAACAGGCGGGGAAGCTGACCACGGACAACACCTCCAGAAATAGTCCTCCGTATCATCCCCTTATCACAACATCATCAGTATTCTTCTCCACAATTTACATCGTGTAACATCTTACTATATTAACCTACAATAACCAATACTAAAATCAACTCCTCACCGAATACTCCAAGAATTTTATAAGTCGAAAATCAATCACATTTTTCCACTAAATTCCGTTTCCACCCAAAGAGGAACTTTATCATTATCAAACAGGGTAGTAGTACTATACTCCCTGCCATTGTCACAAACAGAACCAACCACCGCTTGTATCGTTCCTGCTCCAGCGTTAATTACCATCAATCTTCTCAAAGCTCCATAACATTCCCATCTATTACATATCTTCATCCATGACGTCCATGATGCACTGTGCCATGACACAATCAGTTTTACATCTCACATCCCAGGGGTGGCCCAATCTCTCGTAATCTGACACTGTAAACATTGGACGTTTTAACGCCTTCACTCTGCTTAAGCGGTCATATCCATCCCTCAAAGCATGATAAACACCTTATCACATCTCCCTATCACCTGTCATGTATGCTCAAGTAACGTAAGATCTAATTACCCATAATGCCCTCCCCCCACATGACATATAGCATGTAGAGAGGATTGAACTTCACAAATACATCTATGTCACCACGCCCTAGAATTTCAAACACCTAACGTTCACTCAAGCTTGCCGCGCTGTCCCTCCTGGTGTGCACGATTCTGTTCAGCACGAGCTCGGCTTATTGTAAATAATCACGACAGTGAACAGCTTTAATGTCCTGCAAGTCATCTGTGGTCTGCGTTGTGAAGGAGAATTGGTGAACTCAGTCAATCGTTGAATGCTGCATATCTTACAACCATCATTAAATAACAACAAAGTCCCTTGTGTCTCCCTGCTGCGGATGACACCTCGACAAACTACCATATCAATCTAGGCCTTTGCACCTCAGACCTCCAGCAAGTAACCTCGACTTGTTCTCAGTGTTGTTTCTGGATGATTGACTTGTTCATTGTTTTAAACAAACACACACACACCTAGAGGAAAACCTGCACAACTTGTATTTGAAGGAACTTCCTTGTCTAGTGACATATCTGCTATCCACATGCAACACAGAGCCTTGCAACACTGAGTCGAAGCACTAGGCTGTTACATGACACTTCACTGCTGTGTCCTCCCTTCGAACATGGGTCATCAATCAGATATTTCATAATTTATCTCCTTAAACCATAATCACCATCCTCAGCTACATATAGTCAAGTTAGTTTCATGATAATCACTCAGAGATGTAGTCACCCTCTCACAGGGAGTCCATGCTCTACATATGCTGTGCGTCTCAGCTAGGTACACACATGGTATACCAGGTACACCTCCCTCACAAACATGTCTACGTCAGTTTATTGAAATCCAGGGTCGAATTTACTTTATCTTGATTCTGAAAAACAAAATTATTCCACTTTTTCCTTGTGAACAAAGAATTACTTGATGCCAGTTTTCTCAGTTTGGGCATATATCGGTGACAAAAATATCCTGCCTCACGTTTCAAAACGTTCAGACTGCTTTGTTAAACACAAACCATTGCTCAGTCAACACAGGCAAATCAAATTATCAATTTTCCAACAGTTCCCCTAAAATCTGAAAACAAATATCTGTTTCATGTTCAGATAATGCAAAAAATGTAAAAATGTCCATCTCAAATATTTCGGTCAAACACTGCACTTCATCAATTTCTTGAGGTATCAATATTACAAATAAGATAGAGTTTTGTGAAATTCCAATAAATTTCCCATTGCTCTATCATCGGAAAGTCTTCAGGCAACTAGCTTTCTCTGTCTATTTGTATGTCCGTCTGTCTGTCAACTGTCTGACACCCAGACATGCATACGCCCACCCACACACACTGAAATTTGTTCAAATTGATGTCAGGATATATATCTTTGCTTTACATATTCACCCACAACTTATATATATGTTTGTCCACTGGGTTGTCACTCTCAAGTCTAAATCTTGTTTTCGACTTTCGACTACATTCACAACAGCCCCAAGCACTCACTGAACTCACAACATGTGCATTCTCACTTTCCACTTCCTGCCCAGAAAATAAAGCTTCTTTAACACAGATTGAAAACTAAATAATAAAACCAATTGACCGACTGTGTCCTGCATAACAAGTGAACACTCTTACCACTATGCTACCACACATCCCCATAACAATAGACCAAAATGACTACCTCTATGGTCTATCAGATAGATCATCTACCCTGGTCGACTCAATCAACAGACGTTAAAAGATGGTACTTGTTGTTACCCTGCCTAGCGTTTGGCATTAAGGATCTAAAACAAGGACTTGTCAGCTCGGAGTCAGTGTTCAGAGTTTAAGTGGAGTATCCATGTTAAACTGCGGCATGGTATCTCCGTGGGCTAGCACTATAAAACTGGCATAGGTCCAGACTAGTACAAGCAGAATATGTAACATTTGATAAAATTGAAGTTCAAAATACATTAACAAAATATTACGGACATAATTAATAACTGCCTTCTGGCTCATATTATATAATTTTTACAGAAATTAAAGAAAATTCTTAAATAAAGTATTTGTCCTTGGGATGTGTTATTTCCTGTTGTTTTGATGTAATCTGCATGTTTACTCCTGTTGCATGTCAGTTAAATGATGACACTCTGTCATCCGTGTGTACCGACGACACTGCCCAGTCAGCTTCCTCTGGTGTATAGCGGTGGAGGTCACTCGGTACACAACCTGGTACACCGACTGACAATTGTCTTCCCATACAGCTAATTGCCACTTCCTGTTTATCAACAAACTCCTGTTTCTAAATGGAGCATGTGAGAGAGAGAGAGAGAGAGAGAGAGAGAGAGAGAGAGAGAGAGAGAGACAGACAGACAGACAGACAGACAGACAGACAGACAGACAGAGACAGGCAGACAGACAGACAGAAAGAGAGACATACATACAGACAGACAGACAGACAGAAAGAGACAGAGAGATAGACAGAGACACAGAGAAAGGGAGACACAGACACAGACACAGAGACAGACAGACAGACAGACAGACAGAAAGAGACAGAGAGACAGAGACAGGCAGACAGACAGAAAGAGAGACATACATACAGACAGACAGACAGACAGACAGAAAGAGACAGACAGAGAGACTGAGACAGACAGACAGACAGACAGAGAATGAGAGGGGGAAGGAGAGACAGAAAGAGAGAAAGGAGCGACAGAGAAAGAGGGAGGGAAAGAGAGAGAGAGGGAGTGTGTGTGTGTGTGTGTGTGTGTGTGTGTGTGTGTGTGTGTGTGTGTGTGTGTGTGTGTGTGTGAGTGTGAGAGAGAGAGAGAGTGATAGAGAATGAGTGAGAGAGTGAGTGAGTACTTAAGGCTCTACAATAGCCTATCCTCTAAGGGCACATAAATTAATTGTAAGATTTTCATTCAAATTCTTTTGAAATGTTAGGTTGATGGCATATATTATGTTTTAACTAACAGTTCAAGGCATCTGTCTACATTAACTGTCAATGGATTTGATTCACAGAAGCCTGTTTGGTAGGGCTGTGGTAGGGCTGTGTGTATAGTGTATTTGGGGTATTCCATCAAGTGGAGAACAATGGATCACATGTAGCAAGTTCTTCATCTGTACCTAGTCATAGAAACATGCTGATGTTTGATGAGTGAGTGAGTGAGTGAGTGAGTGAGTGAGTGAGCTCAAACGTAACATCGCATCAGCATTATTTCAGTCATACAGAGATGAGCCCAAGTTGACATATACAAAAGTGAGTCATGTTACAAAGTTATATCTAAAAACAAATTTGCCAAACATCTTTGCGCATAACAATTGTTGTTTGGCATTGATGTATTGAGGTCGTGAGGAGGAAAATGAAAATCAGAGATTTCAAATGCAATAAATGCCACATACATCTCAGAAAACTGGTATCAAACATGATGAAAGTCAGCAATCAAGATCCCATAGCTGGAAAAATGATATAAACTTCCAAAAAAAGTTAAAGAACACTCAATGTGCATCACTATAGTTAATCTATCATGGCCGAGACAGATTAACTATAGTCAAATGACAAAAAAGTTGTGTGTTCTTTAACTTCTTTTGAGTAATAAAACATTTTGAATAAATAAGGTAGAAATTTACATGATCATTTCACTTGTTTGATCATTATAAGACAACCGGAAACCTGTCAATTTTGCTCAATCTTACCAGATCAACACACACAATCCTAGCACCCTCTCCCCACCTATTCCAACCCAGCTATCTTCCAATACCAAATCTGCTGACATATCCCAGACACCCAAAGACTACAAGATCTCTGAAGATCTCGGAACTCTTTTTCCCCATGAAGCCCCGTGATGGTTGACTGCCAAGTCCCAGAGTTGGGAGCCCATCAATGTCACTTTGTCGTAATTCTGTTTTCTGTTATCCAGTGTAGCTCCACTGCTGGAATTCATCAAGCACAAGACATCTTGGTAAAGTGCACCACCTCCTGAACACACTCACGATCAAATCCAGAATCTTCACTTGATCACTTCTTTGATCATTAACATTGGTTTTCTTTATGCAGTTGCGTTTCTTATGTTGGGGACGGTTCTGATTGAATCAAACCCCTGACGACTGAACACTAACTGGCTTGGCACTTGCTCCAGGGCATGACTGCATGCAACTTTCAACATTAATTTTAACCCCTCTCCAGTGAATAATCTTCATGGATTAAATGTGTCAAAACACATAAAAAATGTCAAACTTTTCCCGATTCAATACCACAAATGAGCATCCAGATGAACCAGCAGACAATTCCCTTTCCGATGAATCCCAACATGCAACTCTTTGTTCCGTGTGAATGAACAGCTTTACAAATTTGTCTCCGGAGTTTGACCACGTGAGTGTTAACGCGACACCATATCCGCTCTGGTCCACCTTCAGCTCCATGCATGTCACACCCACAGATGCAATTTCCATGTTCATCAAAATCATTCCCAACGGGATCTGTTCAAGGATTTGAGAGGTGGATTCCAGAGAAAATTTCATTTCAATCAGACACACCAATATGCTTCATTTAATTCCCATCCCTCTATAAATGCATTTCAAAACAAGTTGCAATTCCGACAATGGAGAGCACCCATTGGTATGTGATGTGTCAAGATACATAACACAGGTCATCAGTTGATGCATAGCTTTCATCCACTGCTCATTACACACACAGGCCCTGCCTGGCTATCATGAACCGGTGTCCCAATTAAAGCTCTGGACAATTATATTTAAATAGGAGTTGTTATTGGTCCCATTGCAATAAACTCAAGATGAGAACCGACCTTCAGCTCTCGTTTCAAGCTATTGTTCACACATTTTTTCCCACCATGTGTCACAAAACTCCACCAAACACAACTCTCCTTCAGAAGAATATTTCAATTTGTGAAGGATGATAATTAACCTTGAAATGCGAACTGAATCATTCCAAAACAGCGGATATTGGTAAGTTCCTTAACAAATCTTTCCCACAAATTGAATCATAAATATCGGATTAAAAACAACTTTGAATCTGAACAAGTCAATTTTACTGGCTCATGAAACTGAGCGAGTGATCTCTTGCATCCGCCTGTTGCATCCTGTCAGTTAATGGTAGCATCACGCTGTAATTAGCACAAACATGAAAATTTGCAGATCTCCAATCTCTGATCCTTTCCATTCACAGGTTCCTCCAACACTCTAAAGTCATGAAACAGGAATGATTCTTGTGCAGAAGGTTGATGCGTCTGCAGACCACAGCTGATAGAACTTAGGAAACACAGCTCAACTTAAGAGCTTCTCTCTACAGACAGAACTTACGTAAGACAGCCTCAATTCCTCTTCACTGACAACACTTACGTAAGACAGCCTCAATTCCTCTTTACTGACAACACTTACGTAAGACAGCCTCCATTCCTCTTTACTGACAACACTTACGTAAGACAGCCTCCATTCCTCTTTACTGACAACACTTACGTAAGACAGCCTCAATTCCTCTTTACTGACAACACTTACGTAAGACAGCCTCAATTCCTCTTTACTGACAACACTTACGTAAGACAGCCTCAATTCCTCTTTACTGACAACACTTACGTAAGACAGCCTCCATTCCTCTTTACTGACAACACTTACGTAAGACAGCCTCCATTCCTCTTTACTGACAACACTTACGTAAGACAGCCTCAATTCCTCTTTACTGACAACACTTACGTAAGACAGCCTCCATTCCTCTTTACTGACAACACTTACGTAAGACAGCCTCAATTCCTCTTCACTGACAACACTTACGTAAGACAGCCTCAATTCCTCTTTACTGACAACACTTACGTAAGACAGCCTCCATTCCTCTTTACTGACAACACTTACGTAAGACAGCCTCCATTCCTCTTTACTGACAACACTTACGTAAGACAGCCTCCATTCCTCTTTACTGACAACACTTACGTAAGACAGCCTCAATTCCTCTTTACTGACAACACTTACGTAAGACAGCCTCCATTCCTCTTTACTGACAACACTTACGTAAGACAGCCTCCATTCCTCTTTAATGACAACACTTACGTAAGACAGCCTCAATTCCTCTTCACTGACAACACTTACGTAAGACAGCTTCAATTCCTCTTTACTGACAACACTTACGTAAGACAGCCTCCATTCCTCTTAACTGACAACACTTACGTAAGACAGCCTCCATTCCTCTTTACTGACAACACTTACGTAAGAAAGCCCCCATTCCTCTTTACTGACAACACTTACGTAAGACAGCTTCAATTCCTCTTTACTGACAACACTTACATAAGACAGCCTCCATTCCTCTTTACTGACAACACTTACGTAAGACAGCCTCC